TTGTAATTTGTCTAGTTGATAAGTTATTTGTAAATTCTAATTATTTTTCTGTTTCCTATTTATTTTGTTTTTGAAATTGAAACAAACAAAAATACATTTCTTGACAATGTTAAATACTTGTGAACGTTTACTTATTTAATGTATGTATAGAACTCTACTAGTTGAACGTCTAGACTATATGATAATCTATACAAATTTGGGTATATGTTAGGATTTATGTTATAATAAGTTTTAATAATTTATGTATTATAGTTGGGATATAAAGCCGATTTCAACCATTCATAGGTGCTAGCACATGTAGCTAGCAAAAATAGGAAGTCTGATTTTGCCGGAAAACATGACCATTTTTTCTAAAAAAAATACTGCTTTTGGCTATAAATTCATCAGAAGCACTACTCAGGGTGATTGAACGTGATTCCAAATGTCAAACACTTAACTTGTTATTACATTGACAGCATCACTAGAATCTAAGGCGGGAAGGTCACCGTTACTTACTTAGCTGGTTTGTTACAGAACGGTTATTCCATAAGCAGAGCTTAAAAATATTTCCAAGCTCGTCGGTCTTGTGCGCATCTCCTCCAATCTGAAAGACCTTCTACTTGGTCTTTCCATATAATTCGTGGCCTTCCCCTTCTGCGTGAACCATCAATAGGTTCGCTTTTATATGCCTTTTGAGCTGGGGCACTCACATTCATTCGCACAACATGGCCTATCCACCGTAGTCGCTGTCGGTCACCATTAAATGGATTGAAAAAGCTGGATGATATACATCAGGCAGCAGTTTTAACGACGTAGATCTACATCATTGATATCACTATGGAAGATCTCTATTTTCCCTAAAGAGGTTGTAGGGTTCATAACCTGTCATGTAGGTCTCTTACCTTGAGGTCTTCTACCAGCTTTCAGTTTTTCGGGGTCCCGCAATATTCACCGGAGTAATCCACACAGTAATTGTAGGATGTTTGGTATTGCAGATGGGATATATCGGTCCATTGTTTGTAGTAGTACCCATATACCGGTACACCCAATATTCGGTATTTTGGGGATTTTAAACACGTTTTCTAAGTCTCGTTGTATAACAAAAGTTCGTACCAAAAATTATTAATATTGACCCAAGTTTCAGGGTACCCCATATAAAACGGTATTCTACGGATTTTGGACACATTTTTTCACCGAATTGGCTTTAATTTGGTATTTAGTCTTCTCATTGAACAATACATATCCGTACTAAAAATTATTAATATTGGCCCAAGTTTCAGGGTAGCCTCTACATTATATTACCCTCCCAATATTCGGTATTCTAGGGATTTTTTGACACCTTTCCCCACCGAATTGGCTGTAATTGGAATATTTTGGGTTCTCATTGAATATCACATATCCGTGCCAAAAATTAATAACATTGACCCAAGTTTCAGGGTAGCCCTCATATATTGGTACCTCACAAAATTCGGTATTCTAGGGATTTTGGACATATTTTTCCACCGAATTAGTTGTAATTTGGCTGCAATAGATATATTGAGAATTTCAATCATATATTTCTAACGATTTGTATACCCTTCACCACACTGTGGTACAGGGTATTATGTCTTTGTTAGAGATGGACAGTGGGTAAATACCCGGTAAATTGGGTAAATACCCATTTGTGGGTATTTATTTGGGTATTTACTATATTGAATCGGTATTACAACACCTTACGCCCTATTTCCAGGTTTCTGTTATCAAATCGATTTAGAATGGATAGTTTAACTTTAAAGGCGTGGGTAAGTACCCGATTTACCCACAAATTGGGTATAAACTCTTTAACTGCGGAACCACTTGACATAGGCGGGCAAAATGTTGCATACATGTTGTTAATGTCAAAGCAAATATAGAAATCCAAAATGGGATCCCTGGGTCCAAGTTTTGATATAGCCCCCATATAACCGTATCTCCCGATTTAAGGTATTTTTTGTCTATTAGACACATTTTTCAGCCAAATTGAATGTAATTTGGCACAGAATGTTCTTTTTGGGTACCAAATGTTCATGCAAATGTATGTATGTAGGTCCACGTTTACTGGTAGACCCCATACACAGGTACCCCTATTTTGAGTATTTGCCCAAAAGTTGGGTATAAACTCATTAACGTCGGAACAACTTGACATAGGCGGCCAAAATTTGGCTCAGATAGTTTTTATATCATAGCATATATTGAAATGGAAAATGGGGTCCCTGGGTCCAAGTTTTGATATAGCCCCCATAGAACCGTATTTAAGGTATTTTTTGTCTATTAGACACATTTTACTTTTCCAGGACCCAAAATGCTAAATACTGTTACTGCTAGAGATATTTCGACAAGGACTCAAACTCAAAACGTCGTAAGGAATTTCTTGGAATAAATTCCCACATTACGTACAGCGGCTACCCCCGTTAGGACTTGTACCAAATTTTTGGTTAGGGATAACTAAAACGAGTTAGAAGTCAGGAGCTGTTCGGAAATAAACCAAATCCCCACCAAAGACATTGACAATGAGAAGGATGAGATTGACAGAGGAACAGCGTCTTGCTACAAAAACCCTCCTGTTAGAAGCCAGGAGCTGTTCGGAAATAAACCAAATCCCCACCAAAGCCGTTGACGATGAGAAGGATGAGATTGACAGAGGAAACCTTCCTTCTATTTCGTATGCATTGCTAGCGGTTGAAGAGGATAGGAAGAAGGCTACCAGCGAAAAGATGAAACTCAGAACAAATGATAAGTTCTCACAGGCTGATACCGACCGGCGTATTAATGAGACCGCAATCAAAATCTATATGGTTACCACCTTTCCTTTTGACAGTGAAACAAATGCAGAGGTTGGTTGAGAAACAGAACACATGCCTTTTTTATGAGTTGCTGTGCAATTGTGAAGAGTGAAGTGGTTATATTATGACAGTGGGTCCAATACAATGATCTTGGTGTAATGCTCTCTTGATTTCGGTCTTAGCAATATAAAGTCGGATGAAATATTTAAAAAACCTTTTTTAATGCAGATTGCAGTAGTTCGATATCCCAGTTGATGCTGCTACTTTCAAACCACCTCTTAGCTATAACGTTAACAGAAACCGTAAGATCTAATGTGAGAAAGCTTAGTCGAAAACTAATCTGTAGAAGTCCAATGCTTCGAACCAAAATATATAGACTGTTTCATAGAGATAAGACTGCCTCTAGACGAAATTGGCTGTAATTCGGTATTTTGAATTTTATTTGGATAGCAAAACTTACTACGAAAACTTATCAATATTGATCCACTTTTTAGGATAGCACCCATACAAGGGTATACCTACAAATATCGGTATTTTGTTATGTTCGAATGTTAGGTTATTTTTTACTTGTTTGTATGACAATTTGCTATCTAGAATTGTCTTAGCAACAAGTAAAAAAGTATCAGTCGGCGTTGCCGACTGATGGTTTGCGAAGGTCTTCGGAGTTACACACAGGTTTTATTATTCCTTTAATATAAGCTATATGTTTTTATTAAAGATGTTTCCGATTTAGTGTTGATCAAATCGGTTGTTCAAATAAAATTTGCAAGTTTTTATAATATTGACCCTTTTTGGGGGAGGTACTATAGGAGAGATTAGACGGGTCCCACCTTCGGACTTGATCTTAGCCTTATAAAGGTTCAAATCGGGCATTATATTCGCCTGCTATTGGATTTATAAATATTGAAAATGTTTGACCCTTTGTGGAGATGTACCAGAAGGAGTGGACCAGTGGGTCCCATCTTCAAACATGATATAGGCTTGGTAAAGATAATAGGTTTAGCATAGTTTGGGATTTATAAATATTGAAAATGTTGACACTTTGTGGGGAAGGAGTGGACCAATGGGTCCCATCTTCGTTCTTGATAAAGATAATAGGTTGTACAATGTTTGGTTCAAATCGGATAGTCCGTTCGCATTATATTATAAAATTAATTATATTCACGATTTTGTTTGTTTGATTTTTGTGGGGGAGGTACCAGAAGCAGTGGACCGATATTCCCCATCATCGAAATTGAACTATGTTTGGAAGAAATATTAAGACGTCCAAATTTGGATGAAATCAGTTACTCTCTTCAAAAGTTATGGTGAGCACCAGCCTACCAGACAGACGGTCAAATGGTTTGAAACGGATTTGGTCCAAAGAAGCATAGGGTCTTCAGGTGCTCCAACCCTTTATTCCGCTTATGCTCCGCGACTAATTTGCTGATCACCAATGTGAGTTCCCTGACTCTAGGATATGCTGGGTTAGATCGACGGAGTTCATCACGCTCATTTGCTAGACCAACTGTTTCTGCTGGGAAATTAGATCTCATATCGGGTATTCGACCAGCAGGTATAAATCTAGCGGCTGCAGCAGTAATGATGTCCCAGAATCAGAAGGAATGTAAAGTTCTCTGAAGTGAAGGCTGGTGAACTCTCTGAATTTTTACCAGTTAGCTTTCCTATTGTAAAGGAAAGTGTGGCGTTCAGAGTTGACGTCTTTTATAAGACCTCGTGACACAATGTTTGGCGAACTGTAATATTCCCCTTTATTTTGGTTCCCCTCTGGTCATTAGGACGGAATGTCACAACTCATGGTGAGCAGTGAAATCCTCTAGTAGCAGACAGTTTTTACCCTCAGAAAGGAAGCTAATGTTAGATAAATAATAGAAGCTAATGTTAGACAAAGGAAGCAAATGTTAGACAAAATGGGTCACCAGAGTCTAGCTCAAGCAATGTAGGCTACAATTTTCATTGTGCTTGGTTTCCTGCACCGCCGGAACCGGTGCAGGAAAATTAATGAAACCAGAACCACGGTCCGGGGTTTCGTTTTTCCCGGCACGGACAACAAGCATGAGCAGCAAGCATTCCTGGATATGGTGCTCCCAAAACAGAATAACTGGTACAGAATACTGGTATCGTAAAAACCACTTCCGTGGGATACGCACTTTTTTGGGGAGGTCATACAAATTTCGGCCTAGCTGAACATAAAGTCGTTTTTACTTGTTTTAAATTTATTCACAATTTTATTGTAATTAACAGTAACCAATATATACAAATTATATTTAGGAAGCATATATTAGGTTCCGATATTCGATTATGGCCGGATATGTACTCTGAAAATAAAAGATCAAATTATTTTTAACAAAATTTTTATAATTCGAAATACTTACCTTCTATAATAATGTATTGATTGTCCTTGCTATTGGTTTGAAAAGCATGCTGGAGGTTCTTTTTGGCTTTGTCTAGAAGAAAATCGGAAAAAATATGTAGTTTTCAAAACATCTATCTTTAATTTCATCAACGAACTTACGATGGAGTGTTATGATCTGTTCCATTTCACCCAACATATTTTTGGCAACACAATGATATTCACCAAAGTCTTTGGCCTTCATGGGTCGTACCACCAAACGCATTACAATTTTATAGATGCCATTAACTGAGACCGTTTCATACGTGCCACCCTGTATAAATTCCTTGTCTTTCAGCCAATAATTTACTGAGGTAGGATGAGATTCTGAGATGCATTCCAAAGTGACCTTTTGGCCAAAGCCAACATAGATGGTATCATAGCGGGTAAATATGGTGGGAGGGACTGGAAAAAGAGTCAGGAAAATTATTTTTCATAAACAACAGACAATTCAAATGAAAATTATCTACTCACAATTAACGATCACCGATATCCTTTTGCTCACCGTTGGCGGCACCCCATTCGAAGCTATACACAAATATGCTCCCATTGTATCCCGGCTGACATGGGGCAATGTTAAATTTTGCCCTTCCATACTGTAGACATAACGTCCATTCTCTACATAGAGTGGCAAATCTTTTTCACGACGCCATGTTATGGTGGGCATTGGTAATCCCGTTGCGGTGCAGGTTAGACTTATGTTTGTGCCGACTTCCACTACCATATCATTGCTTGTTTGATAATCGATGATATCTGGTGGTACTACTACATCTAAATAGCCCACCTGACTTTTCATGGGGTCGGTATTAATTTGACACATATACCATCCGCGATCAGACTCTTGAACATCACGTATCCTCAGTTGCCAGATGCGATGTTCGGTGTGACTTATGCTGATGCGATGATTTTTTGTGATCACATGATTCTGTATGCTGAGTATAGTTTGGGTATCGACACGCAGCCAGGCCATCTGGAAAGAAGGGAGGGGGTTAAATTATTAATGGAAGTCCGATTTTAATCCGCAGCCGATTTTAATCCGATGGACCTTCAAATTTTCCAGAACCTACCTTAAATGAAACCAAATCATGGACCACGCAGGTAAGTATGGCATCTCGACCAACAGGAACTGTGACATTGTGAATGGGTCCACTAAATTTGGGATCAGCTGGAAAATAGAGAAAAATATTCTTTAATAAATCCACGCATCAGTTGGCCCTTTAAAAATATTCTTTAATAAATCCACGCCTCTGAGAGGCATTGAAAAAATATTCTTTAATAAATCCACGCCTCTGAGAGGCATTGAAAAAATATTCTTTAATAAATCCACGCCTCTGAGAGGCCTTTAAAAATATTCTTTAATAAATCCACGCCTCTGAGAGGCCTTTAAAAATATTCTTTAATAAATCCACGCCTCTGAGAGGCCTTTAAAAATATTCTTTAATAAATCCACGCCTCAGTTGGCCCTTTAAAAATATTCTTTAATAAATCCACGCCTCAGTTGGCCCTTTAAAAAATATTCTTTAATAAATCCACGCCTCAGTTGGCCCTTTAAAAATATTCTTTAATAAATCCACGCCTCAGTTGGCCCTTTAAAAATATTCTTTAATAAATCCACGCCTCAGTTGGCCCTTTAAAAATATTCTTTAATAAATCCACGCCTCAGTTGGCCCTTTAAAAATATTCTTTAATAAATCCACGCCTCAGTTGGCCCTTTAAAAATATTCTTTAATAAATCCACGCCTCAGTTGGCCCTTTAAAAATATTCTTTAATAAATCCACGCCTCAGTTGGCCCTTTAAAAATATTCTTTAATAAATCCACGCCTCAGTTGGCCCTTTAAAAATATTCTTTAATAAATCCACGCCTCAGTTGGCCCTTTAAAAATATTCTTTAATAAATCCACGCCTCAGTTGGCCCTTTAAAAATATTCTTTAATAAATCCACGCCTCAGTTGGCCCTTTAAAAATATTCTTTAATAAATCCACGCCTCAGTTGGCCCTTTAAAAATATTCTTTAATAAATCCACGCCTCAGTTGGCCCTTTAAAAATATTCTTTAATAAATCCACGCCTCAGTTGGCCCTTTAAAAATATTCTTTAATAAATCCACGCCTCAGTTGGCCCTTTAAAAATATTCTTTAATAAATCCACGCCTCAGTTGGCCCTTTAAAAATATTCTTTAATAAATCCACGCCTCTGAGAGGCCTTTAAAAAATATTCTTTAATAAATCCACGCCTCTGAGAGGCCTTTAAAAAATATTCTTTAATAAATCCACGCCTCTGAGAGGCCTTGAAAAAATATTCTTTAATAAATCCACGCCTCTGAGAGGCCTTGAAAAAATAGTCTTTAGTAAATCCACGCCTCTGAGAGGCCTTTAAAAAATATTCTTTAATAAATCCACGCCTCTGAGAGGCCTTTAAAAAATATTCTTTAATAAATCCACGCCTCTGAGAGGCCTTTAAAAAATATTCTTTAATAAATCCACGCCTCTTAGAGGCCTTGAAAAAATATTCTTTAATAAATCCACGCCTCTGAGAGGCCTTTAAAAATATTCTTTAATAAATCCACGCCTCAGTTGGCCCTTTAAAAATATTCTTTAATAAATCCACGCCTCAGTTGGCCCTTTAAAAATATTCTTTAATAAATCCACGCCTCAGTTGGCCCTTTAAAAATATTCTTTAATAAATCCACGCCTCAGTTGGCCCTTTAAAAATATTCTTTAATAAATCCACGCCTCAGTTGGCCATTGAAAAATATTCTTTAATAAATCCACGCCTCTGTGAGGCCTTGAAAAAATATTCTTTAATAAATCCACGCCTCTGTGAGGCCTTGAAAAAATATTCTTTAATAAATCCACGCCTCTGTAAGGCCTTGAAAAAATATTCTTTAATAAATCCACGCCTCTGTGAGGCCTTGAAAAAATATTCTTTAATAAATCCACGCTCCTGTGAGGCCTTGAAAAAATATTCTTTAATAAATCCACGCCTCTGAGAGGCCTTAAATTTGAGAATCCCCATCCTCGATATATTACTCATTAGATTTATTATTTCCGATACATATTGTCCTGCTCCTTCTTCTTTTTAACTAGCAGTTTGAGGTTATTGTACAATATTAATGAGTGTTGTATCACCACATAACTAACTACTACCATTGTTTAGCCAAACTCTCAGCATGAAATTCCATAGAAAATTCTTTCCTAGGATTCCATAAAAACTCCAGACACACAAAAATACCGACAATGTGTCTTCATCGTCCAATGGTCTGAGAGGAGTTTAGCTATCATGCAATAAACAAATTATAAAATATTTTCCACACAACTTATTTAGTTTTTATTAGAAAGAGCAACATGTTCGCAAATTACCTACCAACAGCCGTTAAGCAGGAAATAAACATCGAATGTGTATGGCATTTATGTTATGCCATATATTATGATGCAGTTTCATGGGTGGAGGATTCCTAAAATTTGTGATATTTATGCAAAAGGAAATATGCTATTGTTTTTCCAAAAAACACCTCAGCCGAAAAGTATGCAATGAAAAATATTTCACATAAAACAAAAAATTGCATTCTTGGTGCTGTTACACCAATTTTAGACTATTATGTCTTTGGTCTAGACACTTTGGGAAGAGTTTTGTTATGTTGCCATGGCAGGGTAATGCGTGACTTTTTGAAAGGCGCCAAAACCTTTGGGAAGTCTTGATTAAAATACGTTAGAGTTGTAATTTTTTAAAGTATGTTTTTTTCAAGGGCCAACAGAAGACCTGGATTTTTATAAAATATTTTTTGTGGCACCATCAATCAAGGCGTGGATATTTATACCTTCCACCACTAGGTGCAGTGTATGTTAAATTTTTCATTCCTCTTGCAAAACCTCGAAATATTTACCTGTAAAAACTCCATGATCAAAATAAAATTCTATGTCGATTTAGCCATGTCCGTTTGTCTGGACGCGTATTCGTCCACTTGTCTGCCGAAATTACAATGGAGCTCCCAATAACTATGGGAGAGTTTTTTTGCAGAGACAGTCTTAACAATAGCACTAGAGATTTTCTCCATTATTGGTTGTTGACTTAGCTACCGATGTGGAAATGTGTCTCGTCATTCAAAGTGATTATACCCTTAGCCTTATGGCTAATGAGGGTATATACACTTTGATACGGGAAAAATCTTGGCTCATCGAAATAATGGTCTTAGACCCCATGTTTCTTTGGACCAAACCGTTGCTGCAAATTAATTTTATAATATCCCGTAAACGTACAATTCGATTTGAACTAAACTTTGCCAAACCTAGTATTATAACCATGATTGTATAATGTTGAAAGATGGGACTTATCGGCCCTTTCCTTTCAGTACCTCCCCCACAAAGCATCAGTTTTTTGGAAAACTTGTACATCTCATATGAAACGAACGGAAACCCCAATTTCATCCAAACTATGCACATGTTATTATTGTTACCCAGAATAAATCGAATTCAAAGATTGTTCCCATTAGTCCAGTCCTTCTGGTACCACAACCAGAACGCACTATGGGCCAGGTATCTATTGTTTTGGAAAAAAGTATATTATAGTTAGTGCCGATAAAACGTGATATATTTCAAATCTGGAGACTTTGAGCTTTGTACCAGTAAAATTTTATAACATTGTGGGTCACGGTTTACAAATGACATGAGGTCAAAGTCAAAATTTCATATTTTTGTGAATATAATTTATATTTGAACCAGTAAGGAAAGTAGTAACGTCGGACGGGGCCGACAACTTTGAGTAAATACAAGATATACTTCTACAATAACAATATGTATATATCGATATAAACCAAGTACAACTACGCCATTTTGTAATAAATTTTTATCGTATATGTACAAAAACTTGCCGTTTTTAATGGTGACATCCTAGAAATTATCGCCAAATATTTGTACAAGAAAAAGATCAGCAATTTCAACGAATTCTATTCCGTTTTTTTTCCTTTAGAAAAAGTTGAAGATTTTTCTTTAAATACTGTTACCTTTGGGGTAAATTGTGCACCATAAATGGCAATACGGACATTGCTTCAATTAAGCGATGATAGTAAAGACTCACGTCCAGCAGCTTCACAGATCCTTAAAAATCAAATTTATTTTATCGGATGCTCATTCACTAACCGAAGCAAAATCGAATTTAATGAGGTGATTCGGATTACTTCTTTTACAAGGTTACACATTTCGATTTACCCATTACTTGCATAACAAAACGAACGATATTGTCAATCGTTGCAAAACTGTTCGACCCCGCAGGTTGGTTGATACCCATTATTGTAATCGGTAAGGTTCTTATGCAACAATTATTAATTGATGGTACAAAATGGTAAAAGCACACTCATTTCGAATTTTGCTGAAATTAAAAAAATAAAATTCGTCGATGGCTTCATTTTTCGACCACAACGAGTTTTCAAATCCAAAGGAGATTAGTACAAATCCTTCCGAGATTGTAATGTTATACAAACTTTTAAATCGGTTTGTCAAAAGTTGGAACTCTCTTTACTTGAACAACCCGCCGTTTTACTGGAAAACGTTCGTGGCCAATAAAGTCTCCGAAATTCTTGACAATGTGGGAAATGAGAACTGCAGACATGTGGTCTCCACTGATAATCCAGCTGACCTTGGGACTCGAGGTTGTACCGCAAAAGAACTTCGGTAGAATCGTCATTGGTGGCAGGTTTTACTCTGGTTAGTGAGAGTGGAAAAGAAAGTTTTTAGTATGCTTGCCAAGTTGCGGGAGACGTTCTCCTTGAAGACTTTTCTACGCCCAACAGAGTTGTACGAGTTTTCGCTTACGCATTTCGTCGGCTGTCGACGGAAGAATAACCCAGGATTGCGAAAAAATATTTTACTTGATTCTGACATTTCATTTGAAAAATACCATTTCATCCGATTGACACAAATGGTGCACTATCCGTGGGAATATCTGGCACTCGTCTCTAATCAACCAATACCCAAGAAGAGCGGACTGTTAACATTGAACGCCGTTCTGCATGAAAACATGTTACTTCGGGTGAATGGTCGCTTAGCCAACACTGATATGAGCTTCAACGAAAGGCATCCCATTATACTTCCAGAAAATCCAGATTCTTTAAATTGCTTATTGAATTCACTCATATTTTCTTACTTCTTGCAGACCATCAACTTGAACATAAAT